ATGGGCTTGCTTAATTTTTTTAATTCAAAGGCAACTAACATCGACTCCTTTTCTTAAGCAAGCATATCATTCGGAAGTAAAGGTATCAATGTGTGAAATGTCTGTAAAAATGGGTAGTTTTTATAACATCAAATAACATCAACCTGGATTAGCAAGTGTTGTCTTCTTGAGGTCTCTAGACCAAGCTCTCAGTTAAAGGTTGCACATTGAGGCAGGATCTATGGAGAAATATGGCACATTGAAAGCTGAGTACAAGAGAACAAATATTTTATTACAAAAAGAATGAGCAAAATAAATATTCCAAAAATCACTTACATTTAAATCATTGGGTAATACAGAATACATATAAACTTATTTAAATGAACTGTAACTTGACTGAATAATTGTATTAAAACTGCTGTACAGTATTTTATTTTAAAAGGTTATACTTGTTAAGAAAGGAAGATAAGCTGCCTGCCAATTATTTTTTAAGGCCAGTGAACTTTTGTTGCCAGAGAACTCAATGAATTTCTAAGCAGGTATGTTTTACACGATCTTATTATGATACTTTTAAAAGTCCCTAAATTAGACAGGGAAAGTCTGGGATGCTGTGTTGATGCAATTCAAGTTTTTCCAGCTTCGCAGAGCTGAGGGAATGGAAACAAACCTAGTGTATAAGCAGAGACAATGGAAAACAGTCGGAGTGTGACTCAAAACAACAGTTGCCACTTCCATCTGTCACAGGGAAAGAGAAAAAATTGGTTTGAAATTTGTTAGCATGAAGCTCCCAGTGCTGCTGGGGCCTGTGATTGACAGTAAAACTATCCACCCATCTATGTTCTAAACCACTTTATCCAGTACAGTTGCTGGGAAATTAACAGTGGTTAATGGAGAGTGCTTGATAACCCACATGCATGTCAATGTTCACCATGTGGTAGAGAGCTGGCAAAGTGAATCAAAGGTAGTTCATCCGAGAAACAAAATGCTATACATGCTCCAGACTTTCCAAGAATGCTGCCCACTTCATTTGTCAAATCCAAAGAATTAGCAGACAATTTCCACGATAAAGCAGAAAAGACAAAAAGAACAAACCATAGAACACGCATTGTTTATCATGTCCTTGGTTTAGTTCCAGCCTGGATCACCTTCTGATCTGGAGTTTGCACATTTGCCCTTATGGGCAGTTTCCACCTAGTCCAAGGACATATTGTCAATGTTAACTGGTGTCTCTGAACCTGCGCCTCATGACTGCATGTGTGTGCATGCGCTGTGATGGACCAGCAACCTATTCAGGGTGCGTCCTGCCCTGCGCTCTGGTCTGCCAAGTTAGGCTCCACCTTATACAGAGCCTGGACTGTACTAAGAAGGGAGTGGATGCAGGATGTTTCCATGCACCATTGTTTTGAGTAGTGTATTTACATGTAGTTGTGCCTGGGCTTGTATATGTGTAGGGATTGAGTGTGCATTGACAGCAAAGCCCTAAACCCCATCTAATCTTCCAACAGTGGAAAACACAGTATGTACTGCATATTCGGGAAGCTGCCGTTTTGAACACCCCTCCCTGACTAATGCTATCTTTCAGAACAGCATTACAGAACAACTGTAAACAGCCCCAGACCATGAAAGTGCTCATAACTCAAAAGGAGTATTATGGCCTATTTCACTTTCTGCTTGACTGAGCGCCACAATCAAAGTCATATATTTCTCCAGGATCTCTTTCTTTGCCGGTTGCTGGCTGTGCTAAAAAACAAATTACTATCACTATAAATATTAATATGTCAAGTCCCAATGCCCAGGTCAGCGTTTTTAAATTGTCTACCCCCAACAATGCAACAGCACAGTGTGGGTGACCTATTAACTAATGGCATGTAGCCTGAAGAAGATACCCTGGATACCCTTTGCTGACTGTTCCCAGGGGATGCTGAAGCCAAGAAACCATTACAATTGATGGCCACAGGTTTCATGCAAACCTTCTTGTCTGAGGGCAGCCAGCTGCATGGCAAAAGTGATTTTAAGGGGGGAAAACTGGAAATTTACTGTTGCAGATATTTCCTGATGAGGTCATTGCTTTTGTAGAGGACTGTTTCATTGTTTCATTTTGGCTTTTTATTGAACATGTAATGTTGTCCTACTACACATATAAGCATATAAGAAAGGTTACAAAGGAGTGGAGGCCATTCGACCCATCTAGCCTGTTTGGCTGGTAGTAGTTATAGATCCCAGGATCACTTCTAGTTTGAGAGAAACCAGAGAATCTCCTTCAACAACGTAACTGGGTAATTTTTCCTTTTTTTTTTTTTTACACATGGCCAGGTCTTGGCAGAATGTGTTGCTAGAATTATAGGCAACGTCTCAGTCAATGATATTTTCTCCCCAGATCTTATGCATCGAGACCTCTTCTCTCCAGGAACACTCTGCAAATCTCAGTTTGTGTTTTCAGATTTATGCTCTGACTAACAATGTAAAGTTGCACTGTCAAATACACAAGAGCCAACAAAATAATAAATGCATCACATATAATGTAGGTGTTTGTAAACGGTTTACATCGATGCTTGTAATAAATGCAAAGCTTCTTTTATATTTGCAAATTTAAGGTACAGTACAAGCACAGAGTATTCAAAACAGGTACACAGAATCACTGTCATAGATTTTATAACCTAATACACATCCATATTCTCTTCTCCTATAAACTCCTAAGATATTACACAATTCAGAAATCCAGTCTGGATTTAATCTTGAATCTATCTCAATCTCAATCTCAATCTAGTCTTAATAATACTCATAGAGCTAACGGCTTCAGAAGCTTGAAGGCACATAAGCAGGTCAACATCTAAGCCAAACAGTTAATCTACAGATTGTTTAAACTTAAAACCAACAATGCTTCAAACTAAACCACCAACCTGTCAAAGTGCATATAACTACAAGCCAGCAGGCCTTGAACAAAGGTCATTAGATGAGAAATGTCTGTGCTTTAACAAACCCTTCTCTGTACCACAGCTGCCTGTGGGAAAAGCTCACGATTGTTATTTGCCACTTTGACGCCACACTTGATTTTATTTACAAGTAATTGTTTTAATGCCACATTTTAATTCAATTGATTATCGTCTCCTACCCATAACGGAGTGCCATATGTTAAAAGGCAATAAAGCGTCTGGCATGACTGCATTGCAGCTGACCTTGAAAAAGGCACTCAAGTAGAAACCAATGTGCTGCTTGTGTTAAATTATGGAAAAGACAACTATTATTGGAGCTACATTGACACTGGTAATGTCTTCTAAAGTGTACAAAAATTCTGCCAAATGTCGAAGCTTATAAGAGTACGGAGGAGAAAGGCCACATCCTGGTGTCACCAAAATATCTGCATGAGAAACCTGACTTTGTACAGCTTTCTCTGCAAACACTTTCAGAAAAAGAAAAATAGATAAAATGACTGCAACTTTAAATACAGCATCTAAAAAGGGTTTAGCTGTACTGTATTATGAAGATCTAAAGTCAGAAAGGAGAGTGGGATGAAATCATGGCTCAGCAGTGACCCAAAGGAAGTTCATGAGCATGACAGACATATATATATATAAAACTCGGAAATATATTCTCCTACTTCATTGTCAGCCCTGACCGAGGTCAATTTGAGTCCCAATCATATCTGTGAGCCTTATTTATTTCTCCATCGGCAGCAGCAACCAACTATTTATTGATTTTTTTTTCTCATTCTTCCTCATGGTAATAAAATATTTTTTTTTTTGTTTTACATCAGACACATAGCAAAAAGGCTGTGGTATTCTGTACAGTTAGCAGAAAACAGCCTCTTTCATCCACTCACTTTTAATTTAGCATCAGCTACTAACAAGTCTACCAAAGTCCAGCTCTTGCACAATCCGGTGCACAATCCTTTTGATTTGCAGATCAGCATATCTTACTTTGAGGGTAAGTGTTGCAGATTTCTTCATATAACTGGAAACTACCAATCGGAAGCTCAAACTGATAAGACAATCAGAATGTTTGCGAATTAGAGGAGACCATCATGCACATTTGGTTGCTGGTAAATTATCTTTAGATATTATCTAGTGTTTCTTAAGATTCCTAAGGTGTCTGGCTTCAAAAACATGGATTGTCAGCTTTTGCCAATCGTAGTTCAGGTGGGTAGCTGCGTCAGCATGCGTGGGCTGCAAAGGAACAAGTAACAGGTTTATTCCATGCTGAAAAGAGAAGAAAGGAAACGCAACATTTCAGCTGTGGAGCCTTCTTCAGGTGTCGGGTGTCACACATGAAGAAAGCTCCACAGCCGAAACGTTGTGTTGTCTTTCTTCTCTTTTCCGCATGGAATAAACCTGTTACATGCTCTTATGCCAATCTTATGATGTGTTGTGCTCTGTCCATATAATTTGTATTTACAGTAGCAATGCTTAATCATTATAAAATATCTAAGTATATTATACAATATAAGTATACATTGACTAACCCATGGGGGAAAGAATAAACTAATATTTTTTATTTATATTTGTTTCAGTGTTTTTTTTTTCATTTCAGTTATTATGTACAGTACAAATAATGTTAGAAGTTTGTCTCCTGACACCAATTTTCTAATGAAATCCACAATTATAATGCACATATATAATCTGAAAAGACTTTAATAAAGGTTTATTTGGGCTTCATTTCTCCTTGATCTTTTGGGAAAATCTCATTATCTTCTATAGAACTCACACCTCTAGAGATTCTGAGCTTGTCTCACCCCATAGAAGTGAAGGTGGTCCAATTCAGTCCCGTTTCACTTTGTTAAATGTTTTCTATTTGTTTTATTTTTATTACAACTTTATATATGTATTATAATATATATATTAAAATATTATATATTTATATAATATATTATATTATATATATTGTAGAGAATTCTGAATACCACTGCCACATATTCAACCATTTCTTTATATTCATGTTGTGCTTCTTAAAAGCGTAGGATTCATTGCTCTGTGCTATATGTCTATTAGTTTCATTACTGGTGCTGTGTTTGAAAAGTTTCTTACCTTGAATGCTCTCAGCAACGTCCGCTGGCTCAGCTTCATACCTTTTTGATCCAAGCTCTCGTAAACCGAGAAAGCCAATTTTGCCTCTTTAATCTCCGTAAAGCTGGAAAGCAACAAAAATAAATATATAAGGTACAGGTACATGCTTTAAGCCTAAACACGAGACGGGAATATGAGCTTTATTTTCTTGTTGTGACAGAGAGAATAAATTAAATTTAAGTTTAATTAAAATTATGTTTATGCAATAAAATGACCTGGGATTTGCTATTTTCTTCTCCACAACTCTAAATACAGGGGATAACATTTTCCGGGGTGTTCTTATTAAGAGAGAGAAAGGTACTGGAGGTGTTTTCTCGTTTAAGTTGTGACATCTGAGTTATAAAGTCCAGCTCACCTAAGACTCTTGCAATCCAGCAGATTGATGCACTTCTTGAGTGTTTTCACATTGTGGATCCCACTTTTCATATTATAGGAGAAATTCAGAGCAGCAGTGAAACAGTCCTGATCTATTAGTCTCTGCAGGTCCTGCACAGAGCCAACAGACTACTAAACAGTCCATTCTGTTAGATTCATAGTGTGTTTCATCATCAAAACCCCAGGTCACTCAAAAGCAGTAAAAAATAATAAAAACACTGTTCAACAATCTAGCACTGTTATACAGTAGATTCCCTTTAATTAGCTATAGAAAATCTGCTGCTGTATTCTGACATACAGGATTTAAATCTTCCATGCCCACTTAAATTTAAAATTTTGAAATTCAATTTAACAAATATTAAATTTATAAATGTATTTAAAAATTTTCATTTTGAACCAATTTTATTTTAAAGCTCTGGTCGAGCAAACGCTAAATCAATAACATCACCAGTGATAACAATAATAATTCTCCAGCTGTGTTTTTAACATGTGAAGAACTGTGGCACCTGGTTGTTGCCACAAAATAAAAGATGTAAATTTTGAATGTTTCAAGAGAATATATTTATACACCTTGTGGGAATGAATACTAATATGTTCTGCCTTTTTCACACTGTGAAGAATCAGGAATGGTGCTGGCTATTCTAATGTCTACTTTTGTTTTTGTATGTGCTGTAAAAGTTAGAAACTAAGGACAGCAGTTTGTTTCTATTTAGAAACAAACTAATGCAACTGTTTCAATGGTCAAAGTTAGCTATGTGGCACTGATGAGCCCCAGCAAGCATGTAACAGCTGTCTTCAGCTGCTAGCTTTTACTATATAGACAGTATATTTATCCAAAAGGCACTACAAGTCAGTACTGAGAAAATCCATAAGCTAATTAATACTCATTCCCAAATCCGACACCAACGGCTTGGAGAGCATAACATATTGTGTTTTTATACTGTATATTGTACCTACAATAATTGCCTAAATTATATAGAAAAAGAGGCCACCACAAAAAACCTTGTAATGTAACAGCAAAGCAGACATACAAAAGCTAGCATGATCACGATAGGCATTTATGTAAATAACCCGCTCTTTTGTTTTTTTAACTAAGGGGACAGAGATACAAAACAAATACAACATAGAAAATCACACAAATTTTCCATCCCAAAAATTACATTAACAAAAAACATCAAAATCAAGCCATTTGTATTTGTGATAGTTGATTGTCTGCATCTTGTGCAGTATTGAACCAGTAGCAAGCATGTCCTCAAGGGGCTTCTCAATGATGGTACATTTATCTAGTAAGTCTAATAATTAATGTTTCTTTTCTATCTTTCACATATTTCACTTGGAAAAGAAAGGACTGGGGTTTGGAAATGGATGCAATCTTGATGCTAATCATTTTCATGGTACCCAACTGGCAGTAGAACAGGCCTCTCTCCGTGCTAACATCATACTTGATTGAATATAAGGACAACGGGACACAGGTTTAGTGCAAACCAACCACAAGGGGCTTTAGGAATCCCAAACAACCCTAAACCAGCTGCGAACAGAAGCCTACACCCGGTGTGAAAAGCAATCAGTCCCAAATTACCTGGGAGCGGAGGCCCAGCTCTCCCTTAACCAGCTCTGATGGCAGACAATCAATGAGGAGACAGCTAGGGAACTGGGCACAAAGAACAAACACATAGACACACAAAAAAGAGGATTCAAAAAGCAGTATTAAGGTGAGTACTGTCAGGAGGGACCATCTTTGAAAACTCCTGTGCGAGAGTCGTGTGCTTTTTCTGTAGTAAACTGGATGGTTAGGGTAATAGTTCATAGAAAGTTGCGAGGCGTGAGGCTCCAAATTAAGTGGAAAGGCAATTACATTGTTTCTTAACATACTGGGTTTATTCAAATAAAAAATCTACTTCTCTCAATGTGTGTGACCTTGAGAAGTTACTTTTTACCAAACCAGATATGCTCCATATTCAGCAGGAATTTTAGATAGAGCTCTATGTGGCACATCCTGCATGAGTTAATAAGACCAAAGCAGTTTAATATTTCAGTACTTAATAAAGCTTCAAAAAGATGCAAGAGTGAACTTATGTAATGACCTTGCCATAAACACATTTTGCAACGTATCATTAAACATGTCCAAAAAAAGCAAGCAGAATTCTCCTACCAACTTGAAATTGATTATTCTCTGTGTACTTCTGTAGGGTAACAGAAAAAGACCATTTTGTGAAGGAGAATGTTTTTCAGATTTTGAAAAGTCTAAAGATAATGTGCAACTGGACAACCACATGAGATCTTTTGCAATCTGAATATGAGTACAGATTTCTATCATGCCTAATTGCCATTCCTAAGCTAAACAAGGGAACTGATAAGACTAGAGCAGGTTTTTGTTATGCTAATTATAAAACGTATCATTTTAAGCACATTTTCTCCCTTTGAAACATGCAAATGTTACAAAGAAAAACTGCCAAATGTATTTACTTTAATGACAGATTCCTTTTCATGTTAATGCTAATTAAAATGAAAAAGCAATTTAAAAATGCAGTAATTCTGGTGGAAAACAGTAAGTGATTTCTGTAATAGCATCAAGTAAATGGATGAAGGATTTCATGTCCAAAACAAAGAAAGGTAATTAGTACATATCTTTAAAAAACGGTTCCATCAAAACCCATTCAACGTCACAGGAAGAATACAAATGCGTAAATAGTTGGACAGCTGTTTATGATCTCCAAAGATTATGTTGTTTTCAGTGTACAGTATGACTTCACAGAGGAATGAGAGAGAGCAGAGGAAATACAAATATGGAATAGATTCTCAAAAACAATACACTTTAGAGAAATTGGGCTACTGTAAACTAAAAACTAAGCTTTGAAAGTTGTGAAGTGACACAAGGGCTTTGATCGTTCTACTCACAATGATATAATAATAATGACAATAAAACTTTATTTTGTATGCTGTCTTCAAATGAAACTTCTCAAAGCACTTAGTATGTGAATATCATGAATACCACAAATCATAAAAATGTAAGAAAATCACTAACCCAGGATACAACAGATGGTGACAAAACAGTCTGTCTGAAAAACTGTACGAGAAACCATGTCATGAAGATAAGCAGAAGGATCTTAAAATACGCATGACACTTGACAGGAAGCCAGTGCATGGACTCCAAGACAGGAGTTAAGTGACCTACTGTAGTCAGGATTCTAGCTGCCAAATTCCTAATAGACAGTAACATATTTGCAGTTTTGCTGACTCCTGCAGGTAGGGTATTATAATCATCCATCCATTTTCTAAACCTATGTACAGTATGCAGTACAGGAGCCAGAGCCTTTCCTGGCTCATAGATTTGAGTATCATCTGCATTGAAATTGTGCTTTATACCATGAAATCTTAGTATTTGACCATGGTGAATAACAGAGAGCCCAATACTGAGTCCTTTGGAACACCAGATGCAAGTCATCCAATTTCAGAACTAAAACCAGCAACAGAAAAAAAATGTTGATGTTCAGTAAGATTCAATTTTAAAAGCCATTTAATGGTAGTACCAGAGATGCCAAGCAAAGCTGTGTAAGTATGCATAATGTCCTGATTTTCAGTGAGTTTACAAATACCGTACCATTCTCAATTAAATGTTTCAAGAATGATTTCTAGGTTTAGGTGATTCAAGGTATTCAAAGGGTAGATCTACTGGTGTGGATCTGCCTCACTGTACTCCAGCAATCCAGTCATCTAGGGTAGGCCTGTAGATTTACAATTCAGCTAGAATTCACTTAAGTGATACTGCCTTCTTGTTGCTGGGTATTTGCAGTAGGCCTTGTGCACAAATTAGATTCTTTTAACATAGTTACTCTTTCCATGGCTTAAAAGTAAAATTACCTGGAACCATAAGGGTAAGGGTTTAAAACCTTTGAAAACAGAGTATACAGTATATAAAAGCGAGATTATAGATGTGTGCTATCCTGTTAATACTGTTTTGTAATGCTGTATTACAGAACGGTTAATGTTTATATTGAGGCTAATGTGTTTACAGATAAAACCTATAATACTACAAGTTAAAATACTAGTTCTAAACTGTTTTGCGTTACATGCAAGTTGTATCACATGGCGTTTTTAATGAATACTTACCCCAAGAGCGGCTGATAACATCCTGGGTGAAAAAAGCGAAAACATTTTATTAATTTTAAATGCGAATATACTGTAACATATACTGTAGCAAGATTTATTGTTTATGTAATTCTGACATTTTAAAATATAAACTGATTTATAATGAAATTAATTACGCACTGAAGGACGTGCTTTTAAATGTATGGTTTAAGTAAATTACAAGATGCCGTAACTGAATTTTAAAATACTTGGCTGCTTCAAAATGCGCATCACCCACAGAGCAAACTATATCTCAAAGATTATTCGAAACACTACCGCCCTCACCTCAGTTCAAACCAACCGTAAAACCTGGATGTGTTTGGATATTTTAAGCAAGTAGCAGACATTTCCAAATATTTTAACAAAAGGAACACATACAGTAAATGCTTAGTAAAAGCGGTTTCTTCCTTTCTACTGCTAACCTGTGTGCACTAGACACTAGTAACCATGTTTACAGCAGGTAGTGATACACATTGTTGCTGTTCAACACCTGGGTCCTAGCGCCCGAAAAATTAGTGCAGCTTAACACTACTGTCAAAGAGAAACTATGTACATGTACTGTATGTTCCTTTTTAACTTATTCTTCTCATGCAATACAGAGTAGAGGCATGTGTAAAATGGGCGTTAGATACATTTCTAACGACAGGATTCACGCTCAATTTTAATTGTAATTGTTTTGCTTGAAAACGTTTAAATTTTTCAACTTTTAGCATAGGACCCCAAACTTTTGCGCAATTAGCACGGCTCTTGCGCAAATGGCAAACGGCAGAATTTGATCACGGGCAATTCGGCTACGGAGATACTGTAAGAAGCGACTCTCCATAGACCGTGAAGTGGAAAAGCTCGTCTACGGCAAAAGAGCACATGTCCAGCTCTTGGACAATATGCAAAACTATTCAAATTTCAAGTAGGTGACCTCACTTTCTCTAGCACGCTAGCTGCCTCCTGTGCTGTGTTTACATACTGTAGGGAAGCGACGATTACAGTTCTAGATTTGTAAATGGAAGGTTGTGGGTTGCCAGGTGAAACGGCTGTTATATCCTTGAGCAGCATATATTGAGCAGCATATATTGTAGTTCCAGTGAAATAGCCAGCTACTGTATGGCAAAAAGTGCAGTTTTAAGTCACTCTGAACAAAACGTGTAAGTTGAATGTAATAATAATAATAATTGCTTACACTTATATAGCGCTTTTTCTGGACACTCCACTCAAAGCACTTTACAGGTAATGGGGACTCCCCTCCATCACCACCAATGTGCAGCCCCACCTGGGTGATGCGACGGCAGCCATAGTGCGCCAGAACGCTCACCACACATCAGCGGGGAGGAGAGCAGAGTAATGAAGCCAATTCACAGAGGGGAATTGTTAGGAGGCCATGATTGATAAAGGCCGATGGGGAAATTTGGCCAGGATGCCAGGGTTACACCCCTACTCTTTTCGAGAAACACCCTGGGATTTTAAACCCTCGGTTTTACGTCTCATCCGAAGGACGGCGCCTGTTTACAGTATATTGTCCCCGTCACTACACTGGGGCATTAGGACCCACATGAGCCACAGGGTGAGCACCCCCTGCTGGCCCCACTAACACCTCTTCTAGCAGCAGCCTTAGTTTTTCCCAGGAGGTCTCCCATCCAGGTATTGACCAGGCTCACACCTGCTTAGCTTCAGTGGGCTGCCAGTTGTGAGTTGCAGGGTGATATGGCTGCTGGCTAATGTACACTATAAGAAGACATTTGAGAAGGTAGGCGCGTCAGCATGCGTAGGTTGCAAATAACACAACGTTTACTTTTCCTTATTTTTAAGCATGATAAAGAATCTTTCGGCCCTCTTCTGGTATCACACCCTAAGAAGGCTCCACAGCCGAAACGTTTTATTTGTTTTCGTTAGCTTTTCCCATGGAATGAACCTTCAACCGTTCCTGCAACAGTATGTACTGTACAGTATGTGAAAAGTCACCATCAGATTATCAGGACAATATATCCTATATCTGCAGGTTTTCATTAGGCCCAAGCTCTCAGTTTCTCAGTGTAGTTAATCACTGGCTATACTGTATCCACTTCATTTATCCAGATACTGTATGAAATTAGAGATTATTTAAAAAATATATTTAAAACGTGCTGGACTGTGACACCCCTGGATGTGAGAAAATATTTGACTGAAACATCAGAGGAAGGCATTGAAAGATTTATTAGTTAACACTTTCCTTTACATAACAAAGATTAAATCTATGGGGCATGTGTCATTTGTGTGAAATACCGCAATGTTGATTCATCTCAGGTGGCGTATTGTCTCCATTCCAGAGACGCTGGGGACAATTACTGTACTTGCACCCTCTGGAACAAGTTAAAACCCCCCATGTGCCACTCTGTGGCAGGATTTGGACACCATCTCCTGCGAAGGAGCTTACAAAGCAGAAGCTTTTATGGGGGACTAAATGAAACTTAATTTCCTGCCCTAAGTGTGAGTGTCACTCTGTTCTGTAGAGTTCAACAGCGCCTGTATAGAGGGCACCTCTGCCGTATCAGATCGCATAAAAGACTTCAAGAGCTGGGGTGAAACAGACAATTGGAAGTGGTCAACTGGAAATTTCTGTGCTTCGACTACATGCACACCGTCAGCTCCTCTTCTTTCAAACACTGAAATGGGCCTGCAGGAAAAAAAAAACAAAGGAAGAGAAATCTTGTATCTGCCTGTGTTTCCCTGCTTCTGTGACTGAAGGGTAATTGACAGTTAATTACTAGTTGTCCTGTAAGATCCCAAAGAGTTTTTTTTCCTGAAATGGATCTTTTTTTTGCCATTCAGCTCATTATGTCTGCCTTATTCTTATGTAAGCATTCCTTTGAAAGCTTTGCAGCATTGTGCTGTTTCTATAGTGTTCTGGGGTCCAAGTAAAGTTTAGAAAGAGCGATACCTTTATTTTTGTTTTTTGCATTCATCCGGCAGTGTATGTTGCATGTTGTAGTTCAGGAATTGTCTTCACAAAACCACGTGAAAATGAAAGACTTAGGAAAATGCATTCTACTGGGTAAACTCTCTCGATTGGGTCATTTCGTGTGGAAAAAGTATAAATGGAGTCAAAATTGGATGGGTCTTGTAACCTTAAACCTACTCTGTCCTGAAAATGCATGCTCATTTAAATACCACCTGGTTAATTACCAACAGGGTTACGATTCTCACGGTACTTACACATTTCTTAGCCTCATGGCCGTAGTTTGGGGCTAAAGTAAACTTAAGGGAGTGTGATACCTTTTTCCCATCTTCATTTTTGTTTTTCATATACAGTACATACTGTATTGCTGCTTACATTGTATTGCACAGTTAAGGAAATGTATTCCAAAACTGAGTGACAATAAAAGTGTGAAGAAAATGCATTCTACTGGATTAACTCTCTCATTTTGCCATTTCAAGTGGAAAAGGAAGTATAACTGGAGTCAAAATTGAATGGCTCTTGTAACCCTAACCCTAGTCTGGCCTGAAAATGCATGCTCATTTAAATACCACTGTGTGAAGGTTTTTCAAGTGAATGAAAATTTGCCTCGAGAAGGTACTTTATTGAAGAAGATGAACTTACAAGAGTTTTCAGGACTGGACTTGATGGTTTTAGGATCATGTTTTTTAGTTTCTGATTGAACATTTTCAAATCCGATGCAAGGAGGACATCAGAGACAGATCGCAGAATTGCTCATTTTATACCCCAGCTAGTTTAGGGGTTAGGATTCTCACAGTACTTTGACATTTTAAAAAATGCATACTCATTTAAATACATTTAAAAACACAGTAGCAGGATTTTACAACTTTCTGAAAATTTGCCTCGAGAAGGTACTTTATTGAAGAAGATGAACTCACAAGAGTTTTTAGGGCTGGATTTGATTGCTTTACAGTAGGTTCGTCATTTTTTAAGTTTGAGGAACCAGCTACGGTTAGATTTAGGATTCTCACAGTACATAGCCATTAATTAACCTCATGGCTGTATTTTTGGGCCCAGGTAAACTTTAGGAAGAGTAATACCATTTTTGATTGGTCTTGATTTGTTCCCACTTGCGGAAATCCTAAGTTGACACCCCAGGTAGGGTTAGGGTTAGCATTCACACTCTAATTAGACAATTTTTAAGCTCAGGACTGTATTTTGGGACCCAAGTCAGGTTTAGGACGAGTGTTTTTTACATCCTATCTGATTTTTTTTTCAGAAACTCCCAGGGGTCTGGATGTCGCTGTGCATCGCAAAGCAATTGTATCCCATAACTGAGTCGGTTGGATCAAAAGTTTTTACCAAGCATTATTAATAATAATAAAAATAATTGCTTACACTTATATAACGCTTTTCTGGACACTCCAGACGCGGGGGTTACACCCCTACTCTTTTCGAGAAACACCCTGGGATTTTTAATGACCACAGAGAGTCAGGACCTCGGTTTTACATCTCATCCGAAGGACAGCGCCTGTTTTCAGTATAGTGTCCCCTTCACTATACTGGGGCATTAGGACCCACATGGACCACAGGGTGAGCTCCCCCTGCTGGCCCCACTAACACCTCTTCCAGCAGCAACCTTAAACCAGGAGGTCTCTCATCCAGGTACTGACCAGGCTCACACCTGCTTAGCTTCAGAATGTCATTCAAATGCAAGTGCTTCTATCAGTGGTGTTCTTTGTTTGTTTGTGATATTTTTCTCACAACTTCATTTTTGTTTTTCAGATTCAATAGGCTGCTTATACATCACTACTCCACCTTGTACAAAATAAAAACAACTTTCTTCTATACATACAGTATTAATGAACTTTTAAAATATAGGTGCAAACTTGTACTGTACATGTGACAAAATGTACCAGGAGCTGGGAATTGATTCTTTCTGAATATACAGCACTTCAGTTTACAAATAAACTGCATTTAAAATACTCCCAAGGAAACATTAATCCATTGCTTTATAAATGACAATTTTCAACTAACTTGCCTGTTGAAATAACGCATTGTCTTGCAGGGTTCCATTAAACCCCACAAGCTCATTTAAAACTGTGATATCTACTGTTCATGCTGTACTACAGTATGTTTTATTTTATAATATCCCAGTTTTATAATAACATTCTGTGATTCATTTGAAGGCTTTTTAATTCTTAAGATGTCTCTTTGTAAAGTACAGAGGTGTGTCAGAAAAGTTACAAACAAGAGGCCACTTTGCCCATTTAGCCTTTTGATCTCTCTGAGTTTTCTGAGAACTCACCTAAATTGAAATGTGATGTCAAATCTGCGGAAGAAAATAATTTAAAATGCTCCCCAGGAAACACTATACAGCAGAAATCTTAGTTTTCATGTTGTAAACATCTAAACTTAATATAGCCGGGTCTTGACATTCGTGAAGGTTTGGTGCAGAAAACCATCACGAATAGCTAAATCTGCATACACCGTATAACCAAGTCCAGCCCTTTATTGTTGCATAACGGCCACAGTATATAG